GAAACAGATGACTGTTAAGAGCTGGCTTGCCTTTGTTCTCGCATAGTGTACTTATTTTGTGATGCTGTAATGCGATTGGGAATACTAAAGAAAATCGCTTGAAAAGTCCAAGGAGAGTCAACTGGGGATAATCTGGTATTTTGGACCTAATCTACCAGGGATAATATTGGATATTCTCTCATTCACGATCATCTTCTACCATCTAGACATCAGAGTAGAGAGATAGATGTCTAAATTGTTTTACAACACCAGTAAATCAAGATATAATAGCCAATTGTATCTCCAGCTGGACTGGCCTTAGGTTAAGTTATTACTTTTAATTATTTTGCCTTTTTTTTTTAAATATTTTCTTGTTTGTAATACTCATGTACATATCCTGTTAATAATTAAGTAAATATTAAAGGAACATTTTATTTTGTTTGTGGTGCAAGTTTCTTATATTATATTTAATTTTTTAAATATTATATATTCCTTTTTTTTATATCTAACGCATGACATATGTAATAACACTGTTCTACATTGATATTGTTTCTCACTTGAAAACAGCCTCATTCCATGTTTTTTGGTGTGAGAAATTCAAATTTCCACATAAAAATCATCAGTTAGCTCTAGTTTCCAATTGTATGACATGATTTTTCTTGTTTCAGGCATTCTTTCAACAATTTTTTCGTGATAACCTAGTAGTTTTGGTGAAGTCACAATGCCCAAGAAGTGTGTGAATGGTCCTGACAACTTTTGTTACGTTTGTAGGGAAGTAACCTTTGCAAGTCAGAAACCCTTCTGTCTTATCACCCTAATGATCAAGACAGAATACCACAAGTATTTTGGGGTAAAGATTGCTGACCAAGTTAAACCATGAGCCCCGCACATCTTCTGAATCACACGTAGCTTAACCTTAGGAGAATGGTTGAACAAGAAAGGTCGTTCAATGCGTTTTGCTGTTCCCATGGTGTGGAGGGAGAATACTAATCACACTGACAACAGTTACTTTTGAATGACTCCTCCTCTTCATCATGCAATGTCTCAAAACAAGAAATCTGAAGTGAAGTACCCTGGCATTCCTTCAAGTACCCTGACAATTGCCTGTTTCAAGCCCTCCAGAACACCATGACTTGAATGAGGTACCAGTGCTGGTTCAGACGAGGAAGGTCAACGATCAACCAGATATTCTGTCTGATGACTATCCTGGAAAGGAGAGAGGAATATAAACTCAAAACTCACCACCTCTTCGTCGATTTTAAATCGGCCTACGACACGATCAACCACCAAAAGCTGTACTAGGCATTACGCCAGTTCAACATCCCCTCCAAGCTTATCAAGCTGACCAAGTTAACAATGGACGAGGTGGTGTGAGTTGTTAAAATAAAGGGTGATGACCTGGCATGCCTTCTCTTTCTCTTGTCCCAAGAAAAAGTAGTTTGTGAATATAAAATACAAACATCTGGCACGATCTTCAATATGACTGTTCAGCTCCTCGCTTTTGCCGACGATATACACATTATTGGGCGTTCTCAGCAAGCAGTTGCACAATCATTTTTGGACCTGGAGGCTGCAGCGAGGAAACTTAGCCTGTCTGTCAACGAGGAAAAAACGAAATACTTGGTAACCAGGAGACCCCGGGATATGGCACAAGGGTGAGTTTTAGACCCATTAGGTTAGAACAGGTATCAGAATTCACATACTTGGGCTCGCAGATCACTGTTGATAACCGGATGGATATAGAGATAAACAAAAGAATTATGCTGGCTAAACATTGCTATTATGGTATGAGTCAACACATGAAAAGCATCCTGGTAACTAAGCATAGCAAAGCAATCCTCTATAAGACTCTTATCAGACCGGTTTTAAGTTATGCATCAGAGACCTGGACGATAACTAAGGCAGCCAAGCAGGACCTCCTAATATTTGAACAAAAGATTCTAAGAAGAATTTATGGTCCAGTGTGTGTAATTGGAGAGTGGAGAAGGAGGAAAAATCAAGATCTCTACCAGCGCTTTAATGAGACCAATATTGTAAATTTTATAAGAGCAGGCCGTCTCAGATGGACAGGTCATGTGGCCAGAATGAGAGACGACATAATCCCAAAAACGGTTTTGGTTGAAATCCTGCATGGAGTGTAACGAGTAGGAAGGCCAAAGTTAAGATGAAGGGACAGCGTGGACAAAGATGCAAGGAAGCTAGGAGTTCGAGACTGGATGGTGACAGCACAAAGCAGGGACACCTGGCGGAGGCCATGACTCACTAAGCGGGTTGAACAGCCAGTATAGATAGATAGAAATCTGTGGGGACCTGAAAGTGGTGGCAATTCTTCTAGGCAGGCTACCAGAGATATTCTAAGTACTGTTGTTTCTTATGTGAGTGGGACAGTTGGGACAGAGCATCTCATTGCATCAGGAAAAATGGCCTCAAAGAGAAGTCCTGACCCCGGGACAAAAAAAAAAATGTTCTGTAAAACTCTCTTGGGACCCTGGAAAAATCATTTTACCTCCACTACATATAAAGTTAGAGCTCATGAAAAATTTGGTCAAAGGAATGGACCAATCAGGAGAGGCATTCCAGTACTTGAGAAAAAAACTTCATTGCTTAAGTGAAGCTAAGGTAAAAGAGGATGTATTTGTTGGTCCAGAAATCCGTAAGCTTCTTAATGATGGGGAATTTTTTAATATTCTTCAGGGTAAAGAAAGAGCAGCGTAAGAAGCATTTACAGCTTTAGTTAATGGTTTCTCGGGTAATAAAAGAGTAAATATCCATGTTTACATTCAAGTGGATGGAAGATTTCATAATATAACCAAATAGTCCATGGTACAGAGCCCTTTTCATCAAAACATCTGCCTGAAACTTCGTAAATAGCTTCATTTCATTATGATCTACAAATATTTCATTTACGAAAATTCTCAAAATTAGGGTGTTTTTAAACCAGAGATTGGAAAACTTTGTCTATTTAATTTTTTTATTGAGTATTATAACAATCTGTCTGTTGGACATTGGTTATAGTGAGGTAGGATGACATTCACACTATATGTACAAAAAAATAAAATAAATAGAACAAAATAATAACTAAAAGTATATACAATAGACAATAAAATAAAATAACCTGAAAAATAAGAAAATTAAAACTAAGAAAAAAAAAAAACACATGCATACCTATATACAATCAGGCGAGGGAACTCCAGGAGAACCCTGCGCTACTCTCCCAACCGCGTCACTGGTAGTAAAGCCAGCGGAGATTGGTCGAGAGCACTTTAGCCACATACACTCATGTCATACCCATTTCCTTTCCACTTAAATCGTTAGATATGATCACGAAACAAAAAAATGTTGCCTACAAAAATATTGTTGGGGATGAAGGTCGCACACAATATTTTTGTAGGCAACCTTTTTTCTCGATTGTATTTAAATTATCTTACAATTCAAGTGGAAAGCAAATGGTTATTTGTGAGTTTTTAGTACCTAATTAAATAGACAAAGTTTGCCAATCTCCAGATTGAAAATGGCAAAATTTCGAGAATTTTCGTTAATATAATATTTGAAGGTTACGATGAGATGAAGCTAATTACGAAGTTTCAGGCGGATGTTAATAATTTGATAAAAAGGGGTCTGTACCACGGACTACAAGTTCCTTTACAATGACCAGTTCTTGTAATACGTTATAAATAAGATGACATCACATGTTAACACATTTTTAACTAACTTGGATTAAAAATTATTTGAAGCAATTGGACCAAAATTTTAACATTATTTAAGTTTTAAAGTGAGTTAGTTAACAAAGGATGTTAAAACTTAAATCACGACTGTTGGTGCAACCAGGCCTTATAGATTATGTTTCATGTGGCAGACACCGAGTTTATTTTTTTTAAATTCAATGTGAACTGCAAACAGGTTATTGTTCATAATAAAAAAAAATTAAAGGGTATCAATAAAAAGAAACATAAATGTACAGTAACAGACACTTTTCTTATTTCTAAAATAAACCATTTATGTCATTCTACAGAAAAGGAGAAAACATCAAGTGTACTGAATGTTATTAATTTTATAATTTTCTTTTAATAGATTTTCACATTTTGAGTCTCCCTCCCCTGGGTATGTGACGGACACCAGCCTACTGGAGGCAAACTCACACCGACCGGGCGTAGGACTGATGACCCTACCTCGTGTACTTAAATCGGGAATCGGGATGTGGTTTACCAAGATGTTAATAGCCCCCCTGAGGTTCGGCCCATGGACGGTCTGTTTCGGGGAAAGAAATATAGGTCCTCGTGCGCCTGCTGACTCTGAGCAGCCATAATCCATGGATCTAGACAGATTTGTCACTGTCCTTGAACCCAAGAAAGTCGGTGGGAAGGACATTGCCAGATTAGCCCCAAAGGGATCGGCTATGGAGCTACGGGTGGTCTGCTGCTGCACCATGGAAACCATGGTTCGTAGCAACGTGAGGTTGGATGACCCCCTTCAGGCTATCTGAGTTCCCGCAAGTATCATACGTCTGTAAGGAGACCACCTATCACGGCCAAAGATCTTCATGGTCTGTAGTGCCAACCGAAAAAAAAAAAATATATATATATATATATATATATATATATAATGGATCCATTTGTTCAGCAGGAGTTAAGAGGCAAAGAAGCAACCAGGTAGAACATGAGTTATTCGAAGAGCCGTATGTAATTAAAGCCATAAAATTGGGAAGGTTGAAATGGCCTGGATATGTGGCGAGAATGAGTAATAACTCATGTAATAACATTATCACACAGAAGCTACTGACAGTGCAGTGCATCATACATGGGAAAAGTAGAGCAGAAATTCCAGGACAGTGATAGCAGGATTGTGTGAACACTGATGCAAAGAATATTGGTTATCTAAAATTGAATGGTAGCTTTACGAGGCAGGGACTCCTTGTGACTATTATTGAGGAGCTGGGACTTGTTAGCAGGTTGAAGAGCTACACAATGAGAACTACAGGGTATTACCTTTTGAACATATTACTTAATCAAATAAAAAATTACCTTATTTTCCTCTTCATTTAATTCAACATCCAAATTTTGTTTAGTATCTCCTTCCAATCCATGTTCGGCAGCTATTTTGAATGCATTCTGTATGTTTCTAGTATCTCTCTTTTTTAAAAATAAAAACAAAAAACATGGTGATTAATTCAGAACAAATTATCTTACTACATTATGGTATTTTGTTTTTGATTAGTTAAAAACAAAAACAAGAGAAAAAACAAAACAATGATGGCCAAAAGATAAGGATTATTTATCTAAATGCATTTTAATACATTCTAAAAAAATAGAAAGACTGATGGAAAAGTCATTAAAGTAATATATATAAAACATATATTCAATAAAACTAATATGTTGATATTTCTAACATTCCAAAAGGGGATAGCATGTATGACAAAAGATTTACTGAAGGAACTGGTTTTACAAAAGATACAAATCAATTGGTTGAGGTCTTGTATTAAGAGAGAGAATAGTGGAACATTGAGTGAGGAGTTCTAGGATATAGCAGGTTTTTTTGGTACTAAAGATCTAGTAGAGAAACACACTTAGGAGGTATTCCTGCCAGAAAACAGGATAAACCCACTTCAATTCGGTACAACCAGAAGAAATGAGGGAGCTGAGAAAACCCGAAGATGAATCTTCTGAAGTAATTCATAAGCCTCTTCAGTCGCATCTCTATCCCAGCAGGTATCCCTCCGTACCCTAAGCAACTGTAGTCAAAGTAGGGAAAAACAACAAAGGATATTCTAAAATGCAATTTTACTATTTAAAATTTATTTTAAGCAAACATTGTACACAGTGTTATCTGGTATGATAAACGTAATTGATTTAAAGAAGTTTGTATTTGAATTTGCAAAACACATTGCTGGTTCTAATGACAAATAGTTAGATTCTTACATATGTAACTTATAAATATCTAGATTTAGCAGTATTTATTTGGACTAATTATAAGGTAAAAAATAAATAAAAATTCAAGGAAGTGGTAAAAAGGCCAATGGGTATCACTAATAGAAAGAGGAAGGGGATCCAATGGGCATGAATATAAATAGGGATTCCAATGGGCCAGAAATCCTAAACTACTCTAGAGAGCAAGAGAGATCCCAAACAAGTGATTTTTAATATTGCTGAGTGATCCCATGGCAGGAAACAGAAATTTAGTCACAATCTTTGGATAGTCCACCAGGAACACCTTGGCCTGCAGCATAAGTATAGACAAGAAGCCCGAAACAGCTGTGGCACTCAACAAGTTAGAGTTAATATAGGATATAAAATTTTCATATCTAATTGAGACAGCATAGATAGGTGTGTGTAAACATATTTCTACAATCCTCTTTATAAAGACATGTTTACCCATTTTATCCAAAAAATAATTAAATTACAAGCAATTTATTATTTCTCTTAATAACCCAATCACTATTTTAATACTTATTGATAATGAAACAGCCTGATTACATATAAAGTTTCTAAGTTTTTCAAATTCATTATTTCAAAAAAGTACCAACCTTATGAAAAAGACGCTTCTCATGGGTTGAAGGTGAAGAAGCAAGGTAACTTTCCTGCTTGGTTCTCTCACATGACCCCTAAAGTTAAAATAAATATGTAATATTAGACAACACATTCATACATGCAAGTGAGCATAGACACACAGTAATATTATTTGGAATTACATATTAGTCCAAGAACCGAGACGAAATTTCTTGACTAATTTGCAGAGAATTTTAGTCACATATATAATATCCACTCTGAGCACTTAATTTGCAATGATTAGGATGTGGACATTATATGGACACAACTACTCTTCCAACTCAGAGCAGTGACATTTCAAAATGGTGTCCATTGAAAGAGGATACCATAAAAATTTCATTTTTTGAAGATGATTTTTTTCAAGCACACGAGAAACTCCACCATCCTCGTTGCCAAAAAACATTGTCTGCCAAAACTAGAAGTGGGCATTGCAATAGCATATGAAATTCGAAATCTGGGTTCTTTTTGTCTAGTAGTACACAATTTAAAGATGTAACATAATGGAATAGTTATTTTAATTATTGGGAATTGTTTCCAATTGAGGAAGGTTAAGTTTACAAAAAAATCATTAATACTCTTAACCCTTTAACTGCTAACGACGGCTATAGTCGCACCTAACATGCCACTGTTGCTAATGACGGCTATAGTTGGAGCGCCCTACTCCTACCCTCAGTGCTAATGTTGGCTATAGTCGCACCACTGCTTTTCTTTCTATTTGCTAATGTCAGCTATAGTCGCGTCGACCTTACTATGTTCTACAAGTTTTCTAGTGAAATAAAGCTTCTAACTAGAGCCCAAAGATGGCGTGGGGATTTATTTTGGAGTTTTTCTTATAGAATTCATGAACCATTATGGGTTACTACCTGCTACGGCTTTTCTCAGGCTGACTCGACCATTTTCATTCTTTGTTTTGTGTTGTGTGTGAAACAACCTTGTGTTCAACTGCTCTCAGTTTTCTTATAAATTTCATTTAGTTTAGTTTAGTAATTTAAGTTAATAATCATATTAAATAGGATTAGTTTAGTTAGTTAAGTGGCCATATAGATTAATTATTTTGTTTTTTTTAGTGCAAAATTAGTTTTTTTTGTTTTTGTTTCCTTATTTTTATAAAAATGGAGAAAAAGTGGTTTACTGCTGAATTTATTACTAGTACTGCCAAAAATGGTGAATTCTTGCTGTCAGATTCTGAAGGGAGTGACAGTGAAAGACATTTCGATTCCTTCTACATCATCAGGTCCCTTCAACTTCTGAGAAACATACAACAGTGGAATAACCAAGCATATTTCAAATACCGTCGGAATAATGTTCCTCTATAGATTTGTAAATAATCTGTTAAAAGTTAAATGTAAATAATTTGTTTTGCGGGAATTGCGAATAGCCTTCCGCTTTTATAACGGGGAACTAGGTTATTTACACTCATGAATATTAAAACAAAACCCTGGCACTGGATATAGACTTTTTGAGGTTGTTTAACTTCTGTTGGGAATTCGGGACCTAATACTTTCGTGACACTGAATGAGAAGAAACAATAAGAATAAATATATGAAATGTGGGACTTAGTAAATACACTTTGAATGAATTGACTCACCTGGTTTATTATTCTTCAATTGTGAGGCCTATGGGACAACTAAACAAATAAATCACTTTTCACTCCTGTCTAACAAAACAATTTATTTTACAACTATGATAAGTGAATCTATTAAAGTCTTATAAACTGTAAGCTTGATATTCTTAGTCTTCAATGTACTGCCTCTCTCATCTCAGGTAACGTCATCAAGCCTCCGTGTCCTATCCTCAAGTAAGTTCTCCTCTCTTCTGACAACCTCCTTTCTACCTGTCCTGGCCTAGAATGCGTTCTCTTCTCTCCAGCTGTTGCTAACTGCTCGGTCCTTTCGGTACCTCCCACCTTCTTCATCGATTATTTATCGATATGCAACTTTTCAATGAATAATTTTTCCACTGCACCATTGAGTACAATTCATCGTGCCACCTCACATTCCCATATATTCCTTCTCATTCCCTCACACAATGTCACATAAAGGAGTAAATACAGGGGGGGCTATCTACTACAGAAGAAAGAAAAAAAAGTTTGATTGGAAGAAGGACTTAAAACCAAAAATTCATCCATTTATTGTCCAGGGTAAAGCCGGTTGCTGAACAAATATCAATCATAGTGCTTCAATTTTAGATTTATTTGAAATATTTTATTCTTTGGACGTTATAAATTATATTACTGAAGAAACAAATATTTTTTTAGATTTATAAAATTGAAAGAAGAGTTCACAACACATTCGCAATTACAGAAGTGGAAAAATGTATATGTTGGTGAGCTGATGATTGAATTCGGCTCTTGTGTTTTTAGGTGAGGGTTGAGAACGAGAAGATGGGGAACATTTTATCTCTCTTTTACCAAGGAAACCTCTGCATAACAAATGGAACACATTACCACCTAATCAAATTCTACGATTCACTCCCACATCAATATAAATGTTTACACTGAGATCAACATCTAATTATGTGAAATTATCCACCTGTTCTAATCTCTCTCTATTCGTCTTCAATAACCTATTATTATATGGGATTTCTTTTTCCATCATATTATAATAATGCATAAACAATGTATTTGATTTTATCTGAGTTGTTTTTTACATTTATGATGTCAATTTCTTCTAGAAGGATGTTTACATATTAAAAAGTCATCAATCTTAACACAGAGAATTTAACAGTTATAGGTTGTAGTTTTTAGTGTCCTTAGCTGGAAATATCTCATTCCTAGTTGAACTTACTTACATACCTGGTCTAAGTCTATTACGAAAAGTAACAGCTTAAACTACAATCTTGGCAAATACCTGCGGTAAGTTTCTAAACTCAATGCGAATTTCATCACTGAAATCCATCAATCAAATGAATCCATCACTGATGGAAATTTAGTTTGACCTGCTAGATTCCAGGGGAAGGTTACAAAACCAATTAAAAATAAAAATATATAAGGAAATAACAACCTACTGAATTGTTGAATTCAAAATCATAAATATATACATAAAATGTACAGTGAATATAAATATTTTAAGTAAATTGAGAAATAATAACAGTGACAAGGGATGGTTAGAGTCATTGAGTCACCAATTTGAACCAATTTTTTTATGGTGATACTGCATCGAAAAATATTAGACACATGTGCTATCAGTCATGAATTTTTATAGCTGTAAAAAAATTGAAATTTTTTGTACATTTTTGCCAATGCTGGACCATTTAAATTTTTTTGACAAACTCATAAATAAATCGTGATAACTCAGAACGATGTCCCCGATACACACAAAACTTATTAGGGATTTAGGGCTCTATATGCTATACAAAATGGTACAAACCTGGTCTTTGTAAACAAACTAGAACCAAAGATACAAAATAAAAATATTTGAGAAGTTTTTCTTAATTTCTAGCCTGAAAAGGAATATTTTTATCAGTTCCTAAGGTATATTGGAATGAATGGCCAGGATATGTGTCTTATATTTTTTGAAGTAGTATCACCGAAAAAAAATTGGTTGAAATTGGTGACCCACTGACAAACCCTTCTGAGGTTATAATTTGATTATATCCAGTGGATCCTTTGAACTCAAAAGCGGAGCCATTGGTGATTTAATTGATAAATAAAGGTGAATTCCATGGATGAGTTTAGGAATGGTCTGATGAATTTCAAATGACATCAATGAGCTCACCACTGTGATTAGGAACACTAATTTCATCTAAAATTCTTGAGATATTTTGTGTGATATGTGGTCCTAACAACATTTCTAGTTTTGTTATAGAGTCTCATTCTCATTAAAGACTCAAATTCTGTATCTCTCTCAGATAGTGACGAGTATATGTCTTTCTTCCTCATTCTGTTCAAAAGCCTTTTGAAGGTTCATGAAGCAGAAAGAAAATTCTTTATCCTTTTCAACAATTTTGTCAGTTATTTGTCAGATATTCAGTTGGTAAAAAACAAAAGCTGTTTATTGAATACTCTTCTCACTGCAGTATTCTAGAGTAGACTTAATTTGATACTGCTTCCTTTCTTATGGATGCACACAATCACCACTACTTCCCAGTCCTTAAAAATAGATACTAACTATAATTATATGCAACATTTATTAAATATAAAATACTTTGAATTCATTCTGCTTTAAAAAGAAAAAGTAGAAGAAAAAAAAATATGAGTGTTCTATTAAACAGGAATAAAAAATATTTTAAATTTAAATAAAGGTTAAATTAGAAATCCAGAACAAACAAAATAACTTACAAATGACAAATGGGAAGTTAGGGAAAGTAACTGTCCAGGTGTCCTTGTAGTAATAAAATCCGGAGAAACATTCACGAGATCATCGATTTCTAAATCTAAAATTGTATGTAGAAACATCAATTAGGTAATAAATCTAAAATTCTACATTATATCAAATTAAAAACTATGCTTAAATATTAAAATATATGCACAATCAAAATTTGTTTTTCCAAGTAGCACATCAGGTCATAAAGATATTAGGCGGTACTATATTTGGTATTTTTACAAAAATATACTCTCCTTATGGGACACCCTGTATATATGTGTGTATTAGAGCATCTTAAAATATTCTTATAAGTTGGAAAATATATAATATGAAAACAACAAAACAATTTTCTTGGAATTCAAGAAAATTTCTGATTTTGTTAATACAAATTATTGGACTCTTTGTCTAGCTCAGGAACATGAGAGAATTTCCATAAGGACAACCGAATATCTTTCAATCATAAATATGAGGGTCAATATGTGGCTTGCCATAAGTGGTAAACCTCCTAGTAGAAATTCAATAAAATCTTTTTAAGCCAAAGTTTACCAGACATTAATAAAGTATACTTAAAGAAATAATTTAATGTTTTCTAAAAAATGTATGCCTAATACATACTCTTTCCAGTTCACTTAAATTCAAGCATCATACTTGGTTTTCCGAGTCACTAACCATTCTGGCCAATGCTTAAGTTATTCATTAAACAAAATAAATATACGAGTAGCTTGAGATCAAAGAAAAATCTGACTGGGTCTATCTATCCAGAATAAAAAAAATATTGTATCTGGATACTTTTGAAAACTGGATTTTATTTATTTTAATCTTGTTTTGTGCATACTGATAATGCGTGAATTGGAGAAACTTTTACAAATTAGCTATTTACCAGGAATTTTTAATTAAAAAAGAAACTTCTTCTATTAAAGTTTGTTCCTGCAGACGTTGGTTCAGTAACTGTCAATTTTACTCTTAAGCAGGGTAAAGCATGAAAAAAAAATGCACATTAAGCATACCTCGGTGTATAGAAACTTTGCTGAGGCCAAAATCTGTGAGCTTTACATGCCCTTTCGATGTCAGGAGCATATTATCAGGCTTTATATCTCGATGAATGATGCTATGTCTAAAAAAAAAAGAAAAATAGTGCAATCAATTTTTTTTTTTATTGGTTGATATTTACAACTGTATTATAAAAAAATACAACTAGTAAATGTGCACACACTAATAATACAATCACATGAAAATGCTTGTTGAGAAACTACCCATTGGTAGCACCCTAATAATAAATTACATAAGTAGATCACGAGGCCATCTTCTTTTCAGACGCCTCGAAGGGGAAATTTGTTAATACTATTTTTATTCTAGAATAGGTAACCTTTCTTTTACATTATACTACACAAGAAGCTTGTTAGTAGTAACAAGTGTCAGACAATACACATACATACACTTTCCAACATTGTGCATGAGACAAACAAATGCATACATTTTAGTTGAATCATAGAAGGAACTTCGGAAAAATGTTCTCTCAGTTCTCCATGACTGATTTGTATGTGACCACCATATTGTTGGACAAAAATAAACAGTCAAATAACTATAAATAATCTTATTATCATAAATAATTATTTACAATAATCATCACTTTGAAATCCATCTTTTGCTAGAAAAAAAAAAAGAGGGAAAGAAAAGCAGAATTAAGGACAGATTTTTGTGATTTGATGGATGACGAACAGAATTTTTAAAAATTATTTTAGGATATAGCACTAAGCACGATTTCAATATTTAGTCAGCGAAAATATATTAAAATAAACAAAGTATTAGGATGAACTGGAGAAGAATGAAGAACAAGGAGTGTACAAAAGAGTCGGCTGTTCTTTCAGAGAGTAAACCAAGAGAGATCAGCCTTTCAACCAAAAAGTGATGCTTGCAAGGATGAAGATGCGACACAGAAGTAATAAGAGGTCCAGGAAAGATGGGCCAGTCATTTCAAGGCGCTTCTAAATGAGGGAAATGAAACAGCCGAAAGATTATCCCCCGACACTGAGCAAATGGTTGGAGAACAAAGTTCACTACCAGATTCACTCACTCAGAAATGCGTGGTGGGGGGACTTGAATTGTTTCATACTGATTAGATCACCAAACCTAGCTATTGCTCTTTCAAGCCTATCAATGAAAGTTTATTTCAACATTATTGTGCTTCCTTATTTTGTTTAATTTATTGGAAAGAATACTTTTCTGTGTTTTTCACATTTGATTGAAGATAATTTCAAGTAGGTAAATAAATAAATACGACTAGCAACCTAGAACAAACGAAAAGAACAAAATTGATATTAAGATTATTTTTAAATTCTTTATTTCAAAGTCATTTACTGTAAATAATATATTAAACATATTACATAAATATATTAAACATATAACATAAATATATTAAACATATTACATAAATATATTAAACAATATATTAAACATATTACATAAATAGTTCACCAGCTGTATGTAGATTTTAAAAAGGCTTACGATTCTATTGACCGCCAGAAACTCGAGCAGGGGATTCCAAAAAAACTAGTAAATCTAGTGAGGATGTGCTTGACGGAGACACTCAATAAATTTAGAATCGGTAATAATCTGTCGGAAAAATTTGAGGTTCGTTCGGGTTTAAAACAGGGGGATTCCCTTTCGCATGTCCTGTTCAATTTGGCATTAGAACATGTCATTAGGGAGGTAATGCGTACCGAGAAAGGGTTGGATCTGGGTGGGACAACATCCGTGCTGGGCTATGCTGATGATCTGGTATTGTTAAGCGAAGACGTTGAAATTATAAAACTAAATACGACATCGTAATTGAAAGCCGGTAAAAAACTCTAAATAAACGTGGATAAAACAAAATATATGGTTAGCTGAAAAAATGGCAATACTACTGGTGATATCGATATAGATGGTAATATGTTTGAACAGGTAGATAAATTTAGGTATCTAGGTTCTACGATAACTAGAAAAAATGAAATTGAAGAAGAGATTAAGGTTAGACTGAAGTCGGGAAATGCTTGTTATTTTTCTGTGACAAAACTACTCAGTTCGCGCCTCTTGTCCCGGAACTTAAAAATTAGAATCTATAAAACAATTATCTTGCCTACAGTTCTTTATGGATACGAAACTTGAGCGCTTACATTAAGGGATGAGCAGCATCTTAAGGTTTTTGAAAATAAAGTATTGCGTAGAATATTCGGACCGAAGAAGGATGAGTTAACTAGAGAGTTCAGATGATTACACAACGCCGAATTGCGTGAACTGTATCCGGGTAATATAATTGAGGTAATTTCATCGCGGCGAATCAAATGGGCTTGTAAAGTTGTTGGGCTTAGTAACGAGAAAATTACTAAAAGGTTAATATTTGCTGTGCCGAATGGTAAGCGTCCGAGGGGTAGACCGAAGTGAAGGTGGGAAGATTGCATTAAAGCCGATCTGAAGGGACTGAGTTTGGACGGCGAACGGTGGAGGGAGGTGTGTAATAAGCGATTGGTGGTGTCGGCATCAAACCTTCGGGTTCGCTAGGCCTTTTATTATTATTATTATTTATTACATAAATAGAAAAAACAAAGATTACTATTTATTAAGAGAAAAAAAAACAACATTGTAGCATAAATTTTGTTTGTAGATCTTGCGAATATTTCTTTTAATAATATAACGATATTATAATAATTTAAGGATGAAAAAAATTGTCAGGATTTGCAGTAAAAATATCTTCAAATAAAAAATTAAAAAACAAATTTAAATAAATACTTGTTTTTAATAAAAAAAATTTTGTTTGATAAATTAAAAAAAATAAATAAATTTTTACTGCAAATTCTGATAACTTTTTCATCCTTATAATTTTAACAGTAACTACATACCCATCTCAATAATAATATTATATCGAGTATTTTTTTTTTTAATAACATGTTAACAGAGAATTTTTTTGTTGTAATTAATATTTTTCATAAAAACATAACTATTTAAAGGAGCCTTAAAGAATGGCATGTACAAGTTGTGCAGTTGCAAATTCTTCTCAAAACAATATATTAAAAAATTATCTAATTGTTTTCTTAAAAAAGAAAATCTAGAAGATAGAACTATAATAAAATCGTAATGATGCTCAACTGTGTTGAGTTGCTGACACAGCATACTAATAAGGATCTTGGGTTCAGTAGTATTTAGGGAAAGTACTGTTATAAGGCCAATGGTTGTGCAGGGAGATCGAGGCAGGATCACGCTCAACCGCCAGGTTTTTCCTCTCAATCAATTATTTAATTAAGGGTACCCACTTTGTAGAGGCTGAGTCTGCCCCAGGATGGGTCTCTCTATCCCAGGGTCGCCCCACGGCCAATGAAACAGAATAAATAATTTTTCTGCCATTAGCCGGGATTCGAACCTGTGACATTGAGCATTGGAAGCTTAGTGCCTTACCACTGATATACATAGTATACTAATCCATCTAATTGAAGAAGAGCTAGGAAAGGCTTTCTTTCAACAAGGAGTATTTATAAGAATACAAATTTTAAATACCCAAAGAATATTATACTAATTAAGAAAACCAAGGAGCAAAGACAATAAATTTGAGAAAGAAATCACTACATAGGATTACTTATGATATAAAAATGTCAAATTTTTACAAACATTCGTTTGAAAGAAAATACTTCTTTAATTTTGGATTAAATACTTTGATTAAAAAATAGTTCTATTATTTTCCATAATGTTTTATATTTATTTCAAATATTGAAAAAAAATATTGTGGTATTTTGCATTTATGAAAAAAAAAAAAATATACATCAACTTCTTAAATTACACTTTATTAATTAGAGAATAAACAAAATAGCAAATGAACTTTCACTTTTTATATTTATTAATATTAATAAAATTAATAATTCTATTAAATGTTCAAGTATGGATTTCATACAGAAAGATAAATAATTTTTTATTTATATATATATATTTTCCATTGGAATTTTCGATACAGCCAGTTATAAACTCATGTAGTGGAATTAGGGATTAAAATAAGAATATTCTGACCGATCCGGTGGACATATTAAATAAGTTTAAAAAAAAAACTTTGACAATATTTTAAATCGTTAATATGTTTCGAACCATTAACAGAAGAACTGAATAAAGAGGAAGTTAAAGTACCTATAGGAAGACTAAAATCTTATACAGCAGTGGGAACCGATAATATTCCTAGTGAACTAATTAAGGCATGTGTGGAAGCTGGAGTTTCTAAAATTCATTTATTGGTTAAAAAGATCTGGAAGAATGAGAAATTGCCTGAAGAATGGAAAGAATCTATTCTTATTCCGATCCATAAAAAGGGCTTGAGGATGGATTGTAATAACTATAGAGGAATCTTACTCCTTTCAGTATGTTATGAAATATTTACATCAATCCTTACTAATCGAATCACAGAATATGACAAGGAAATTATCGGAAACTATCAATGCAGATTTAAACAGAACTGTTCAACTATTGATCAAATATTCTCTTTACGGCAAATTGAAAAATTTAGAGTACAACGGTATTGTTCACCAGCTGTATATCAATTTCAAAAAGGCTTAAGATTCTATTGACTGCCAGAAGCTGTATAATATTTGAATCGAGCAGAGGATTCTAAAAAAGCTAGTAAACCTGGTTAGGATGTTCTTGACGGAATTCTCTCGATGATCTAAACCCCATTCAGAAGTCCTATACCAACAATTATGGTCCCGATAACATCCCAGTCAGACTGATTAAAGCCGCACTACATTCCATTCTTTCGATTTTTTATGACATCTATAATTATTTTCTTCAAAATACTACTTTTCGTAGAGCCTAGAAAACCGCCCTAGTTGGCCCCTTGAAGAAGAGCGCTAAGCCATCAACTCTTAATGATTTACACCCAATTTCCCTCCTTTCAAACCTCTCCAAATCTTTAGAGCGACCAATCCAATCCAGCTATCCTACTTTTTAGAACAGAATGATCTCTTAAACCCCTACCAGTCCGGTTTCAGACCTGGCTATTCTACTCAGTCAGCACTAATCTAAATTTCCCAAGACCATCATACAGCCATAGATCAGCAGAAACTAACTTTCCTTATTCTCCTTGATTTCTCCAAAGCTTTTGATTCAGTAGACCACAACATCCTCCTAACCAAACTTTAAAATATCTCCTTTTCTTCTAGTGCTCTTAGTTGGTTCCAAGTTTTCCTTACCGGTCGCTCCCAGTATGTTGTAGTCCATAATAATCCTCCATCAGAGCATTTACCCTATTCCAGAGGCATCCCACAAGGCTCCTATTTATCCCCCACCCTTTTTTCCATCTATATAAATGACCTTCCATCCTCTATGCTGCACTGTCAATACCAACTGTATGCCGACGACATTCAAATTTAACTCTCCTTTCATCCGACTGATTCCCCTGATTGCCATCCTAAAACTCCGGGAACATATTAATAGAATATGTGCTTGAGCAAACCTCAACAAGTAGTAGGCCTTTAGAATGACTAAACAGCAAGAAGAAGAAAGCCATCTAGATCGGATCCCCTTTACTCCTCAAATCATTCCCGGTACTTTTAATCTTCTCCTGAACAACTCACCTATCTCATTCCATACTTCTGCAAAAAACCTAGGTGTTACTTTTGATCGAATCCTCTCCTGGAAATCACACATCTTCCGAATTTCCTGTACTACAATCTCCAACCTTCCACCCTTTTTCCTAGCTACCTTTCTATTCCAAGTCCAGGATATAACATCCTATTGGCCATGGCAACTCTGCAACCCTCGTATATTTTTCAGAACTTAAAATTTAAATATTCCAATCAAACCCATTCCACTAGATCTCATACTTCCGACCTCTATTCTCCTCCTCACCGAACTGCTGCGTTCGACAAAAGCATTTTTAATTCAAGCCATCTCCCTCTGGAATTCTATTCCTCCTGATATCCGACAACACAATCAGTTTCCTCTTTCAAACTTCTCCTCTTTAAACACCTACGCCTTTCCGACTGATTAAGAAATGAAATTGTACCTAAGAGAACTATTTAAGTACTACCCAGAGACTATTCCTGTTTACTTATATGATTTTAGTTTCCTATGTTAGTATGATATATATATATATATATATATATATATATATATATGCTTTTCTTTTCTCTTTTTTTTTTTCCTTCTTTCTCTCCTCTGTACCTTAGGGCAATCCTATATCAGCGGTACATCCAATTTCTTAACTTAACTATTTTTCCACGAAATTCATTAGAGCCCGGTTACCAGGATTGGTGAGCTGGCCTGCTCCCACTTTGATCCAACATCTAGAGCCAAAGTGAGGCAAAATTCAGTCTCTCAATTTGATTGGGGCATTAATACCAGGTATATCTACACTAATGGGCTGTCTGCAAGTGGAGGGCTGTTCCCACCAAACAGAACTCCAGTAACTTCCTACCTACTTATGGTGGGCCTTTATAATAGTTTATAAATAATGCTATTTGTAAATCTTAAGACAACAATATAAAATAATAATTACTAACATTAAATAATACAATAATCTAGTATTTATATATATGGTATATCACTGGTGTAACCTCTTCTGCCTTGACCTTTTTTCTTGGATTATCCTCCTAGTATATGTCTTAAAGGCAGCAACTGGAAGTTAAGCTGGTGGAAGAATTGAGAGAAAGAAGCAATACTCAGGATCACCACTGGGCTGGATTAGTAGAAACCTTGAAAAATACAGAAGAAACACTGGGACCTCAACCAAAAAATGCTAGATCCCCATGGTTCGATGATGAATGTTTGGCCATCATAATCAGCAAGAATGAAGCCTACAGGAAAATGATCCAATGTCAAAGTAGGCAATATCAAAAAGAATATAGAAACAGAAGAAAAGAAAAAGGGCCATTTGTCAAAGAAATAAAAGAATGGAGGGTGTTGAGAGAGCACAGGAACACTCCATGAGTGACCCTTTCAATGAAGTTAACAGGTTTTCAAACCAAGGGTCAACTCATGCAAGGACACATATGAAAACCTATGGACAGAACACAAGAGGGAACACCCTATACAAAGATGTGGAAGATGGAGCCCCTGCAGATTCGAGAGCGGACGACTTTCAGAATGAGTTTACTCTGGAGTCACCTGATGAAGAAGAAGTCGAGACGGCTGTCTTGAAGTTAAAGAATAACAAGGCACCCGGACTGGATGGTATAGACAGACCTGCCGCTGTTAACGAAAATTCTTTTTGAAACTTGTTCCACGCTGAAAGAGAGATAGGTAAGTACCAGGCTGGGTTCAGGAGGGGTAGATCAGATCATAGATCAGATTTTCCCTTTGAGAATGATCCATGAGAAAGCAAATGAGTACAAAATGGTTACCTCTCACCCTTTCCTGGACTTCAAATCTGCATATGACAGTGTAATCCGACAGGAGCTCTACCAGATATTGGAAAAAATGAGCATTCTGAAAAAGTTGATCCGTCTTGTAAGGACGAATATGTTGAGTTCCAACAGTGCTGATCACATTTAAGCTGATCAATCCAGACCCACAACAACGAACTGCAGTGTGAGACAAGGAAACGCTCTGATATGGCTCCTTTTTACTTTTACTAACCAATATATGAAATATAAAGTAAAGGAAAGTATTGCGATCGTGAACATTTCAGAATCTCAGTGTTCAACGGAAATATACGTTTTGAGGTCCCTTGAGTCCAAATAACCAAGTCCCACAAAATGGTCTGTGTGTGTGTTAACAGTCAAGCTCAAAAACGAAAAGTCATTCAATAGTGAAATTGCATATTTAAGGTTTTAATGTGCTTGCGATATTACAGCAACTTTTTCGTCGAAATCGGCTAGTCTTGGACTGAACAAATTTTTACGATTTTCTCAAAAACGGCTCTAACGATTTTGATTAAATTCATTATAGCAGTGTTAAATAAAATGTAGGTTTTATTCTGATTGATGTTCTCTAACAAAGCTCAAATGGTTAATTTTCAATATTAGCTTCTCCTAAAGTACCTTTATTTATTTTTTATTTGAAACAATTGACCATTTCACATTAATCTCTAATATAAAAGACAGTTAAATATAAAATACAAAGAATTTGATAATTAACTAAAGAAGAAATAAGAGATCGTAACGGAGAATAATTGTAATTGAGGAACCAGAGGAATACCAGCGCACCCGAGCTTGCCTGAAAGATTAGAACAAGCTTCCATATGTAACATGAGCTAAATATAATATGGACTCCGGCAATATTATATAAATATACATATGCGGTTTTCATAAATGCTATTGTTGGTATTATTTAATATTTAATTGTATAGATTACAGCGATACAAATATTAAAATTTGTATATATATGGGTACTTATACAAATAAAAATATCCACAATGAAATGTAAATAAATATAGCATTTATAATTTTTACATTCACTTCCTCTTTGTCTGAAAATACTTATTTCTGCTAAGAGGGTGGTAAGTGAAAGTTGTGTGATGCGCGCACCACACCAGATTTTTAATTTAGCAAGCAGTGTGTCTGGATCAGGCAACCAGACTCAGGCCACTCTGATTAATAACAAAATTCAGCTGTTGGGATAAGGAGATGACCTTGACATTGCTGCAAGATCTTAATGTGCCATCAGACAGGCGGTTTTTGCTCTTAAAGAAGAAGCAAGAAAACTAGACTTGGATATCAATGAATTCAAGACGAAATATACAAACATATGAGAAGCAGGGACAGGAGTTAGTTTGTTTGAAGTTGGTCCCAACAGATTTGAAACTGTGTAAAGTTTCATATACCTGGATTCAGAGGTAAATGCACGAAATGATGTTGCTGCAGAAATCTACAGGAGGATCACTGCAGCTAATCATTTTTACTTTGGTCTGGCAAAGTATTTTAGGAGCAGGTGTCTCTCCAACAAGACCAAGATTAGCCTCAATAAGACCTTGGTGCGTCCTGTTCTTACATATGGGTCAGAAGCGTGGGCATCTACAAGAGCTGGTGAGACATGGCTGCCAGTATTCGCAAGAAAAATAATGAGAATTTTCAGCCCGGTTTGAGAGGGAAACACATGGGGAAGAAGAAAGAATACAGAGCTTACGGCTTTGTATAATGACATGAATGTCAAGTTTATTAAGCTCGGGAGACTTCGATTGGCAGGCCATGTGGTGAGGATGGAGTATGGACAACATAACTAAAAACATTTTGACCGATGAGCTTCACAGCAAGCAGAGAGTTGGTCAGCCTAATGTGAGATGAGCAGACTACAACACTGAGTATGCATGGGTCCTTCTTGGCACCCGAAACTGGAGAGCTGCTGCAACAGACCGAGCAAACTGGCCAATATATTTATTTTAAACTCATCCAAAATATCATGTTTCCCAAAATGCTATATCATATGTAATATGCTGGTCAATTCTGCTTAATTCTAGAATAAGTAATATTTTTCAGATTAAAAAATGATGTTGATTTACCTGTGTAAATATTCTAATGCTAAAATAATTTCTGATGCATAGAAAACAGCTACATGTTCGGGAAAGAAACCTGATATACTCAAAAGAGATTTCAAATCGCCACCAATTAAGTACTCCATCACCTAAAATTCATAAATGCCATTTAATTAATAAAAAAGAAAAAAGAAACTTAAACATAGCATTATGACCAATGAATTAATTGAGTATTGAGACAAAGTTTTAAATAAAGAATATAATAAATATGTACAACACTATATTCATTGAATCAAAGACAGGAGATATAAAAAAGTGGAGGGTCAGTAAACTTATAAAAACAGCAACAGTTTAGGCCACAAGTGAGAATTAGGCCACGCCAATACTCCAATATTCATTCATATTTGAAAAATGTTCGAGAATAATCATAGAGATAAGTGGAGCTGGGAACAGATTTGCCTAGAAGTCTTCCTTTTTATCACTTTAAAATAATATTTACCAATATATCACTACAATTATAAGACATTAATTTATTATCATTTGCACATATCGATTCTTTGCAATTTGGAATGACAAACTTATTATTTTTATCACGAAAATAGTAATCAGATTAATGTAAAAAATTAATAGATAATAATGAAAATTATGATATAAATGCAGAATTCCAAACCATAACTTTATAGAGTCTCTAACACACAAGTCAACAATTAACCTATAAATATTAACCTATAAAAAATAATTTGTATCTTAGAGACTTAAGGGCTAATGGTTGGAATTTTCTGTTTATATCCTAATTCCTTTGTTTCTTTTTGAGCTATTTGATGTTATATATAAAAAATAACAGTGCAAAATATGTAAGTACTAAATATGTATATATATAAATATGTAATAGCAAATTAACTAGCATGTTAACCATATCAATACTAGATGGCATACATTTTATAATTAATGGGCCGAAAATGAAGTTATTAATATGTCCTCCAAATTGTTATATATCAAAACAAAATAATGTAAAAAAAAAAAAAAGACTTAAATATGGCCTCGTTAATGGTCCAATAATTGCTTAAATATAATTTATAAATAAAGGTATTGATTGTAAGTGTTGAAATTATTTAATCCAAACAAGAAAAAACTTTTAGATTAATATAGTTATTAATTATATAATTTCACGGAAAAAAATCTAGTTTTGCATTAAAAAATATTTAATGTTGTTTATATCTCAATGAACTAAATTGATAAAAGTAAAAATAATACAGTAAAGAAATGTACAAACCAGAAAGACACAGGTCGGAGTCTGAAGTGAATAAAACAATTGTACACAATAGGGACTTCTTGTGAGTGCCAGAGCATTTCGCTCTCTGTTGACTAAAATAAAACAAATAAATAAATCTTATTTGAAGTAAAAGATGGCTGGCTGGCTATTACTAAAAAAAAAAAGAAAGCATTTTTTATATAAAAAAAAATAAATAAAAATAAAAATTGAATATAGACCAGCAAAAGCTTTTTTATTTATTTCTTTTAACTTAAAATAAAAAAATAAAAAATGATCCTTATGTGGTTGTGTTTTGTTCTAAATTTGATAAGTCAAACCTCAGTTTTCTTTTAATATACACAATTTTCTCAAACTCTGACTACATTGCTACAAACTCTTGACTACAAACTCTGCATACATAATTTCAATGAGTCGCTATAGTTTCCTGTGTCTTTGATTTTATTATGAATTAAAAAATTATTGGAACAGATGATATGAATGAAAAAAAAAAAAAGTGATGATATTAGACTAGGAGCTACCAACCATTTTATTTAGGGAAAAGACTTAAATCTAATAACTGTTTTAAATTCTAGATAACTCTAATATGAACACACAACTTCGGTCAGTCAGTTGAAAACCATTGCTTTATATTTGAAATTTTAAATTAAAGAGGCGGAATCTGGCCTTTCATTTAATGAGAAAACTGATAGTTGAAAATTTACTTTGATTCACGATGTACCCATTTGCGTTTTGAAAACTAGTGGTATCAAAATCATTAAATTAGTCGAGTCAGATAGGTTTCATATATAGTCATTAATGTTCATTTGTTTGGGTTTAATAGGGTGTAAAACAGCTGGGTTATCTTGTAGGCTTATTTGCATTTAATTGGAGTTTGTTGGAGTTTTCCACCAATCCGAGCCGAGATAGAGCACTTAGTGAGAGATGTTCCCAGACCCGAAAGGGTCCCATACATCAGATGGTGGTTTGTTGATATAACAGAAATGAGGATTGATCAGAGAATGTAGATAAAAACCAGAGTCTTAAATGTATGAGCAGGTGAATTGAAACCTATGGAATTTGAAGCATATTGAAATTGTAGCAGCTACACTCAAGTTAAACTCTGTTAATATTTTCAACTCTTTTTATTAGTGTAATTTAACGACTTTTATAACAGTACTGAAATGTATAAACAAACTGAGACATCTTTATCATATTTGTAGAACTGGGGAGCATAAAAATGTATTATAACATTGAAAAACTATGGATCAAAATACATCAACAGTCTTTCACTAACAACAAATTTAACCTTTTTAGTCGTTTAAGACTATTAATCAGTAGATTCAGACTACAAATAATAAGCTTTAATTCTATCCTTTTGCCTTAATATATTTTTTTCTATTATTCTCAACTCCATTTCAGCCTATAAGTCATTATATTAAGGAGAAGCTTATTATAATGAAAAATCATTAGATTAATTTTCCTAACACTTTATAGGTCGATTATCCACCAAATCAATACCCTCTCTTGGTTTTTTAAAAGAAAGGGATACTGCGTTGGCCTTATTTAGCGCTAATAACTGAAGGTAGATGTCACTCAAAATTATGGAAAGTTCTAGATAGATTTCACATCGAAAATGGTCTATACTTCAATCAAAGTGCATTATTTTTTAAAATATTTTTTTACTACCTTATTTATTTTTAATAATCACATTTTATTCAACCATAATAAGCTATTGTTATTCCAGTCTTATTGCGCAGATGAATGAAGAAGTGTAAAAGGTGAAATAATTTAATATACGCAACCATGTCACTATAGTAATAATAGACAATACAAAAATCAGCTTTTTATTCTTCTTTATATTATTATATTCTTTATATTCTTCTTATTCTCGCAAGAGTCGTCATCTCCAATAATGTATTTCCTCTCACTTGTCTCAAGTTGGAAATATTGCTATTATAGCTAAGCCTAGGTCTTCCTCTAGGTCTAGTGCCTACTGGTCTCATCACTATAAATCACTATTCAGGCTGAAGTTTCTCCGTCTCCCCAAATGGTAAAAAGAATAAAAAAATTATCTCTTAATGTATTATTGTTCGTATAATTACATTTAATAGGACTTCAAGAATCACTTTCACTTTTCTTTCATATAGGTAGTTAGTATCTTTCTTTTTTTTTTTACAAAGTAATTATCATAATATATATATATATATATATATATATATATATATATATATATATATATATATATATATATATGTATATATATAAAAAAGCTTTCGGACTGAAGCTCCCCAAAATTAAATCCTGGATCCGCAAGTGAAGGGCAGTAAATAAATTGAACATGTGCCAAGGACAAGCGGGTTTTTCAGATGACAAAGAGATCGGATTCTCTTAGTCATCTGAAATCAAGGGTATTTCAGTGGTTTGCACAGCAGAACAAATATCCCAAAATTTATATATCATTGTCAAAGAAATGATGAGTATAATTGTCACATCGATTCTATGTGAGCTAACATTTTCAAAAGCTGCCTTGAGACTAAATTATTGGCAGATAAAGAAAAACTTTTTTAAATTACAATTTTAAAATTATTTTTATTTATCTATAATTTGGTTTTGTTTTTGAATTTTTTACTTTTACATTATAAAGTTATCAATTATTTTTTTTTTTTTGTAAGTGATAATTCTTAATATAATTGGGGTGATTACATTGCAGCAAAAACATACAATAGGCCTGTAAAATTGTTGGGCTTAGTAACAAAAGAATCTCTTAAAGATTATTATGCACTGTGCTGACTGGTAAACGTAGGAGGGGTAGACTTAAGCGAAGGAGGGAAGATTGCTTTAAGGTTGATCTGACCTGGGTTTGGACAGCGGTTGGTGGAGGAAGATGTGTAGATAGTGATTAGTGGTACTAGTATTGAACCTTCGGGTTCACTAAGCCTTTTACTATTATTACAATTATAACGTATTAACGGTGATCGATGGCTAGCTTTATTAGGATGGGAGGATTCTTCAAATTTTAAATAAACGTTTTCTTAGATTCCCCTATATCGTAATTGGTTGAAGAAGAGACCGAGAAAATTACAGCAGTTTTCAGTTTGATATGAACTGTATGCGAAGTTTTAAGTATACACGGCTTATTCTTTTGGAAATCAGAGTAGAGGACTTAGTTTAAAGTACAGGACTTATTGCATATATTGTATTTCTTGTTTGAAGGCTGAAGGTGGTTCAAGATAAAATAGTATAATAATATATATTCTTGATGAAAATTTAATGTTCAATAACTTTCTTCTCCAGGACTTTTTCATAGAATGGATAGAAAATAGAGTTGGCTAATAAAACAAAGAAAAAAACGCTAACAGAAAGCTAACCAAGACAATAAAATAAAGTAAACGTAACTGCTGGAAGAAGCTGAGTGAGGAGCATTTCAGGAAGACCCTAGAAAACAGTCATGACCTAACTGAAAAGTTAAAACTTCAAACTGTCGTCCCTGAATTCTCCAGAATTGTTAGAAAAAATAGTGGCAGTGCTATCTGAAAGACACTCCGAAGTGCCCATTGACGCACTAGATAGCAAATATGGATCTGGAACCAGTGTCGCAAATCACAGAGAAAGAACTAGACATAGCATGCAGGAAAATAGCTGCCGGGCCTGGACAATGCCCCAAATCTTGCCTTAAAAATAGCTATTAGGTAAATGCCACAACTCTTCTTATATGTGTACAACTCCTGGCTCAGTGAAGGTGTCTTTCCAACAGAGTGGAAGAAGCAACTCATTGTGCTCCTGCCAAAGGGAAAGGGGCCCCCAGAAGACACCGCATCTTATCACCCAATATGTCTCCTGGACACTGCCGGAAAGGTACTGGAGAGGACCATTAATGGAAGATTAAATTACTTCAGTGAAGGAGCCAGAGGGTTATATTATAATCAGACAGTTTTTGGAGGGGCAGATCAACAATCGATGCCATCAATTTTGCCATCAGACCTGCTTGGGAAGCCATTGCAAGATAGAGGTGAAGAAGAAATGATAGAAGTATCGCGCCATTATAACGTTGGACGTAAAAATGCTTTTAATTCAGCTAAGTGGGATTGTATTATGGATGGATTGCAAAGGAGTCCCACAATGCCTCAAAGATTATTGAGCTATTTCACTGATAAAATCTTGAGGTATGATACAGAAGCTGGATTGAAAAGTTATAAGATCATTGGTGGCGTTCCTCATGATTCAGTTCCAGGGCCATTGCCATGGAATATTATGTATGACACGGTGCTCAGGCTGTCCCCGCCATAAGAAACTATTACGCTCGGCTTTGCGGACGATCTGGCTATCAATGTTCGTGGGAAACTCTTGGAGGAGATAAGTTATAATGCGAACAAGACAATCCTCATCATTTGTCAATGGCTTTTAGCGAAAGACCTCCAGCTTGCTGATCATAGAACTGAGGCAGTATTAATAATCATTAGGAAAGTGAGGGAGATAATTAGTTTCAACCTTGGGGAGTTTGACATCTTAGATCAAAACATTGATGCAGATTGACATGAATTTCAATTTGATGAACACTTGCACAAAATTAGTACCAGAGCAGTGCAAGTGATTAATGAATTGGCTAGCATTATGCTTTAAAACATTGGTGGACCACAGGGGTTAGCTTAGTGTAAGGCTAGTGGAGATCAACGCTCCCTCGGTCTCTCGAGTTCAGTAGACAGCACGCACATGTTCAGAACAGTACATAAGTCATGCGCACTTACATTAAGTCATCTTCAGTACACACCCTACGATCACATTTCCTAGGAACCTGCTCCGGATGGGGGAGCAAGTCAGAGTTCTCCGAGGAGGTAAACCCTCCACTTCACTCGGGGGCAGTGGGTTGATAACCCCCTCCCTTTAAAACTCCTATATCACAAAAGCTCACCATTTGCTGGACCGATTAATGGGAAACAACCAAGGAACAGTCATATGGACTTCATACTTTCTACCAGGAACGTTTTATCTTTATACAGACCCGGAGCGTTGTACAAGCTCCTCAACACACTGACCAACTATGCAATCGACATCGCTGCTGTCCCAGAGGTCAGGTGGACTAGGTAGAGAAGTCTCACAAAAAAGTACAACACACTTTCAATTACAGCTGTAATGAAAAGCTCTACAGCTTTGGCACAGGATTTATAATAGGAAGAAAATTGGCTCCTTTAGTTATTGACTTCAAACCAATTATCGCAAGACTCTGCACAATATGGATTAGGGGAAAATTCTATAATTAGCCTAAAAAATAAAATTCCATCATGCCCTAATTGGCTCAAGGCATAGGTCCTCATTACTTGAATCGAGAACATACAAAGTTGCAAATTCTGATTCAGTTCACTTCTTAGTAGTGGCTAAAGTTCGTGCTAGAATCTCTACTAAGAACAATGTCGAGGAAGCAAACCCACAAGGTTCAACTTAACGAATTTAAAGGTTGAAGAAAAGAGCATATTCTCAAGTCAGCTTGGACAGAAGCTCAGGGAAATGAAGCCTATAAAAGAATGGTGCAGATCAGACAGACAAGGCAATTGCAGAGGGAGTATAGAAGGCTGATGTGCCAAGAAACTCATTTGCAAAGAACAAAGAAGAGGTGCTAGGAAAACAAAATGCTGCAAGTAATTGAAAACTTCTTTAGAGACAAAAACCATTGAAATTTCTTCCAACAGATAAATTAAAGCAGAAAACCATTTAGCACTAAATCCGAAGCATGCAAGGCAGAGGGTGGGACCCCTGTGACAGACAGGTAAGAAGTACTTGAGTGCTCGAAGAATCATTTTAAAATGCTATTAAACCAAGGCAGCAGTAACACCTGGCTTGAATACCCTAGATAAGGAAGAGATTGGAGGAGCACTACAAAAGCTTAAGAACAATAAGTCTCTTGGGATGGATGAAATTCCTGCAAAACTACTGAAGCACAGAGACCTGGAACTTGTTGTGTTTATCTAAGATCTTTCACATATTTCGACAGAACAGAGAGCCCCGCAGGAGTGGAAAAAGATGGTCATTTGTCCAATACAAAAAAAAGGTGACAGCTTGATGCGACAACTATTGTGGAATATCCCTCTTGCCAAGTGTTTATAAAGTTTTTTCCATAATCCTCTTTATTTTAATAAAATGATTCCATATGCTGAAAGAGAAATAGGAAAGTATCAGTGTGGCTTTCTCAGGGGTCGAACAACTATCAATTAGATATTTGCCCTTAGCTTTGCTGGGAGGAATGTTGCTTCAGATGCCCAAGCTATACCTGAAATCTGTAATTGGAAGGCAGCAACATTCGATAGAAACAACTAGCAACTAATGTTGAAGCAGGTCAAGACTCAACTTAGTGGGTTGTAGAGCCGATGAAAAAATTAATGGACCTAGGGCAAATCAGAGAAAGTTTCTGGCTAATGTAGCCAGTTCCACGCTTTAGTATGCAGCTCCCAAATGTAAGAAAGCCTGCCAAGTGCAGTCATATGTCCGTAAAGCACTCAGTATGCATCTAATGAATGCAGCCAGATCTTGCAGAAAAAAAGAGAATAGCCAGATGCTCACGTGCTACTTTAGCAAAAGAGAGAGAAATCAAACTCTTGAAAGATGGCAAGGACACTGGAACGCCTCATCTTCTGGAAGGTGGATCATAGTCTGATTACCGATATACCAACATGGATATCCCGGAAACATGGGGAGGTAGATTATTACTTCACCCAACTGCTTACAGGGCATGGTTGCTTCAGAACCTACTTAGCCCGTTTCAAAGTAGAAGATAGATCATCAAGCTCAACTTGTGATCCCGTGGATGAAACAGTGAATATTCCTCCTTCTGTTGTCCAACAAAGACTTAATCACTTTGATGATGAGTAGGCAGAAGAATTGGAGTGCTGCAGCAGACTAAGCAGCACTAATCGGCAAAAGGCATAGAGCACAGGAGCGAGAAAGGAGACACCTTAGCTTAAATAAGGTGTCCAGAGAAGTAGCCAAATAGCCCTTCTGCCCCTCCCTCTCCCTGCGAAGTAATGCTTGACAGCAGTCCTGTGGGGTGGTAACGAAGAGTTGGGAGGTAGTTTTTTAGTGAGTAGGAATCTCACACTGTTGTGTAACTTTTTGTTTGTTGCACTTCGTCTTATGAAAGATTTTTCCACTACCCACAAAACAAAAAAATAAAAAATTGCACAAACATACACACAGACACGCAAGCACAAACAGAAGAAAGAAAATTTTCATTCAAATGACATAAGGGTGAAGATTAAGAAAGAAGATACCTCAAATTCAGCATAACCAGCCACAGCTTATAGCTTCTTTTCACACTCATTCCTCTATTAACAACAATCTTTAAGAAATTAACCAAGATCTTCACTGTTACAATAATAATTTAGAGCAAGTAGTATTTTCGTGCTAACAATATTTAACAATTTACAATTATCTTCTTAGGTTTAATTCTATTACATTGAGGAAGGATAAAATATTTTTTTTAATTCTATTTAACAGCCAGCTATTAATATCTGATCATCCAGATTATTCCATCGGAATGTCATAATTTTAATAATTAAAGAATGCAATTCATTCAAATTTACACTATTATTTTATGACCAATATCTTAAGAACTTAATACTAAAAAATAAATACAAAATCATAAAATAAAAACAATATTTACCTTGTATGGTCATATTTTTGTTGATCATTTCTTCTTTTTTCATAACTTTAATGGCATATGGTTGTTCAGGATTTGACTTTTTGAACCCTAGGAAAACTTTTCTAAAACAGTAAAGAAAAAATCATTTACCAACAATGCACCTTACGATAGTTAGATCAAGATTATTTAGAAATACAAGACATTAAATAAAAAGGAATCTCATACGTTTAAAGAATAACATGTACGTAAAAAATAAATGAGAAATAAGACAATCTGGTGTGTAAAGCACTGTTACTCATTTAAAAACAAACTTACAAGGGGAAGCTACAGTCAGTAGGTCACTGATTTCAAACAAATGTTTTTCAGTGATACTACATTGAAAAATATTGGACACATGTCCCAGCGTTCGTTCCAATGAGCCCTAGGATCTAAGAAAAATTTTTGTTGTGTATATATGAGCATGTCCAAATGGGTCTGGGTTTGGGTGTGAACAGTCTAGCTCAAAAATGAAAAGTCTATCAAAACTGAAATTACACATTAAAATGTCATCTGGGCTGTTACAGCAATTTTTTCACCAACATTTTCAGAACCGGAAATGCCACTTTATATCATTAAATTTACACATTTTTATAATTTTCTCAAAAGCAGCTTGAGAAAATTTATGTTGATTAAATTTCTTATATCTATAAAAAATAAATCAAGTGATCTTATATATAAGATGAATAAGTATTATATTCATTGAAGCTTTCTAGATGGGCTTAAATTCTGTATGTTAGAAATGTCTTCCTCTAAAGTACCTTAAATTTTATTTAAAGTTGTTGTCACATTGCTACTAGTAATAAAAAATGGTTAAATGAAAACTATGAAAGTATTTGAAAATTAATTAAAGGAGAAATAAGGGTTAGTAAGAAACCCAAAGAGGTAAGAAACAATTGCCTAATTGATTACTTGAACTTAATTCCTGGCAATATTTTGTTTGTTTTTAAGATGTTTTGATTAGTTGAAATTCGGTTAATTTTCCATGTGGACATAAATCCCTTTTTTCTTGTAGTAGCTTTGCTTATAAATTTAAGAAAACAAGTCTCAGAAAGATTTTTCTGTTTAAAAAAAAATTGATTTAACCAAAGAAGTCCAGCCTAGACCAAGATTTCGTGTAGAAAATTTTAATTTTCAATTGCTATAAAAATTTGTATTTAAGGGTTTTTTGAGGTGCAAAAAACAATTCTCACTTTGCTTCTCACAAAAAAACATATTTACTCTCACATTACTAAGCCAGTTGGTCCAAATTGTGCACATATTGTAGCTATCTGCAAAATATAATATTTATTCAAAACTGACCTGGTATCAATAGTAAATATTTTTTTAGAGAGAAAAAAGGTTGATATTCATTTTTCGCACCACAAAAACCCTTAAATATGAATTTTTAAAGCAGCCAAAAAATTAAAATTTTTGCCGAGGCTGGGCTGGACACTCTTCAAAATTTTTGCGATCACAAAAATTGTGATAACTTCAGATTGGCTCCACTGATCCATAAGAGAATTATTCGAGATTTAGGGCTCTGTATTCTACACAAAATGGTACAAAACCGACCTCCATAAACAAATTAGAACGAAAGATATAAAATAAAAATTGTTGAGAAGTCTTTCTAAATTTCTAGTTTAAAAAGGAATAAAATCTAAAAGTTGATGTGGCTGGAAGAGCAGTAATTCACCTTTCACAAGGTTGTACAATCGTTGAATTTGGAGAAAATCCTGAGAAGGTATCATTTATATATTTATCGGTGGGGAAAAAAATGCTCTAACAAAATCAAATAATAAATTTTGTAATTTTTGATTTATATAAAAAGTTTTGATTTACATAAAAATTCATATTTGAAAGTTTTAAAGGACACTAAAAACGAATCTAGCTTGCTTTTTTTGAAACAAAAATTTGCTTGGCAAACTTTACTGGAAGTTCCTTTTGGTTTCTTATTCTGCACAAAAAATAAATTAATTCATTTATAATAACCTAAAAATCGGGGAAAAATAAATAACATTTCTTTGAAATTATATAAAATATGTTTTTTCCTAGCTCCTAAGGACCATTGAAACAAATCCCAATATTCTTCAATGGAAAATAACAAAAAAAAAAAAAAATTAGTTGAAATCAGTGGCCTATTGACTGTGCCTCCCTGTTTTTGTTTCAATTCTGTTGAGACACATTAATTCATTTTGTAACAGAAAATAATTTGGTTTAGTCGAGGTACTGTTAGTAGCGATGGTGGCGAGAACTAGACAGGCAAATGGACCTTATGGTGATTTTTTCCAAACTTTGAAAGCTGCCTAGTGGTTGACAAGTCAAAATGTCCAAAGTGAGAGTTTCAAGATTCATTTCTTGAGACCACCGAGAAATAAATGTAGTAAAACTATATTATAAAGCTCTCCTGAGGCCCATAAAAAAATTGTGCTGTAACCGGTAAATCAACAAAAACTACCAAAAGAGATTTAATTATATTTATAAATAGCTGATGTTTCATTTATTTGTAGGAAGCAAAAGAAAGCTTTTACATTATATCTTGAATAATAAAAATATACAAATCACCTGGGTCAAATTAAAAATATCTGTTATTTTCACTGATTCAGTTTCGCTTTTACTTTTTCATTTTCTCGCTCTTTAAACAATTTATGATGATAAGTTAGAGAAAACAGAGACTAGCAATTTGAAAAGTCTTCTCATCCATTAGACCATTTATTAGCATCTCTGGAGCCTGGATGAACCACCAACAACACAAAACTTTCACTTACCCCTCTACTTTGAATAGAAATTATTTTCTGGTAATGTTGGGCTATTATAAAATTCTTGAAATGCATTTTAAACAGAGCTAAAGCTTAAAGCTTACAGATAACAAATCATTAAGACCATTAAAATTACAAAAAGTCTATGTATTATATTGACGGCAAGTAATAAAAATCTAGTTTTATAAACCACATAACTTCAGTCTCCACATAACAGAGCATTTCAGTTGACAGCCTTTCAACATTTTTGAGTAATGCCATTTTAATGATATTTCTAGCTGTAAAAGTTACATCTATACAGAGAGTAAGTAAGTTGATTCCACAGTAGGTGATTGCAGTGTTGAAGTATAGAACTGTGAATAAAGGTATAAATTTTGCCACTAAAATTAATAATTAAGAATGTTGAAATTAGAGTCAGTCTTTCTGTCAACCTAAAGGCTCATATATTCCAAGAGAGATTTTAAAGTACATCTGAATATTTAAACTATAAATGATTATTGTAAATAGTAGAACTATAAATTATTAAACTGTTATTTTCCATTGTAAAGTGTACTAAACTGAAATTATGAGAATTTCATTGCCTGCCATGGATAGGTCAAAACTTGTCACACTAATTGTAAGTGGATAATGTTGGGATTTCACAAAGGAAAAATTCATCAAATTATTCACTAATTTAATTTTCTAAAAGGTTATTTGATTATTTTTTTAAACAAATGGCCAATAGATACCTAATTATTTATAAATATCATGTCATATCTAGAGTTCATAATTGTGGGTAAATGGTTGACTGTCGTGAATAATGAAGAGAAGAATAGTTGGGGTGATCAGTCAAATAAGAAGGCAAAAATAAATGATAATATTTATTTTGACATTTGCCGACGTTTCATCCTGAAGTTCAGGCCTTATGATACTAATGATACTGAATAAACATTTTGATTCCATAGAAAGTAAACATTGGAATCTAGAATCATTTCATTGAATTAAGGATTAAGGGTTATTGTCCTCTATATTAACATCCCTAATTGAAAACAAACAAAAAGATTACCTATTTATTCATTAAAAACAATAGACCAATCCAAAGCAGAAATATTTTTAGATGAAAACATGAAAAAATCAAGTGGGTGGACTTTTTTGAGTGTCAGTGTATATATATATAGTCTTTAGCTTATTTAACTAGATTCTATTAACTTGTTGATTCTTTTAGCTTAAATGGATGTGGATGTGTTTTTAACTAATTGTTTTTCTTTATGTATATAATGTTTGGCTAATTTAATTAGATTATATTAAATTATTGAATTTTTTAACTTATATAAATGCATGCTTTAATCTATTTTTTTAGATATATAGTTTTTAGCTCATATGGATGTGGATGTGCTTTTAACTAATTGTTTTTTCTTTTTTTTTTATGTATACAATGTTTGGCTTATTTACATTAAATTATATTTATTTATTGAATCTTTTAACTTACATGGATACGTTGTTTTTTTAAACTATTTTTTATGCATATAATTTTTAGCTTATTTAACTAGATTCCATTACATTATTGAATCATTTAACTTATATGGATTTGATTTTAACTAATTATTATTATTTTTTAATATAATTTTTAGCTTATTGAACTGAATGCTTTTAAATTATTGCATCTTTTAACTTATATATTGGTTATCAATTTTGGAGGATTTACTAATATTGTTGTTTCATTTTTATAAAATTAACGGTATCTATTAATTTATTGGCTTAAAAAACTTTTTCGAATATGAACACTATCAAACATAGAGTTTACTTGTATCGACAATTACTTCATTAAAAATCCGTTATAGCTGGTTGAAGGATATGTCCAGACCGGAGAAAGGTCTCAAGATTGGTCAGTGAGTTTGGATTCGAAGAAGAAGTGGGATTTTTCAAGATTCGGTTTTCATATCTATTGAGAAAAGACGAGATAACAGTCTTCAGGTTGTGATGGAGTAATGGGAGGAAGATACAGAAATCGTTTTGGGAAAAACTGTTTCCGAGGATGAAGTTTTTCATCAAGACCCCTCAGAAACAAAGAACCTTGAAGTAAATGAATTGAATAATGATTCTCAAGTTCTTCATGTCATAGATTTCAATCCTGATCATCAAGAAATATAGAAAGATTTCCTTCCTCAGACATGTTCAATCTGCCAGTCATTGTTTAAAAACAAACAATTGGACTTAAAATCCAAATATCAAAGAGGCATCCAGCAGAGGCAAATCGGATCAAACTTGAATCCATTGAGAAGAAAAATAGGAACGAGAACAATAAACAGCCAACTGAGAGTACACATCCTAGGGTCACCTCCCTTAGTTAGGCGCCCCGGATGGGGAAGCTTGTCAGACGCTCTGAGGACGGAGTCCCTCCACCTGACTCGGGGGCAGTGGGCTGATACCTTACACCCCTTAAATCAACCAAATCATGAATCTTCAAAGAGAAATAAATGGAGGGATCAATAGTAAACGACATAGGATTCGCCAAAAGGATTTAACAATAAGACAATGGAATATTTTATCCCTGTATAGAATGGGGTTACTTTGGCAACATCTACAACAAGTTGACAACTACAACCTCGACTTAGTCGCTCTGCAGGAGGTGAGGTGGAAAGAAAGTGGAGTTCTGGAAAAAGGGTTCCATATCATATACCACAGCGCCCACGAGCATCTACATGTCTCTGAAACGGGCTTTGTAGTAAGGGGAAAAGCCAGGAATCTGGTAATAAATTTCATTCCTGTAAGTCCCAGGATTTGTCTTTTTCATTTGAAAGGCAGGTTTCATAATTATACATTCCTCAGCTGCTACGCACCCACAGAAGTGTCTCCTGATGATGAGAAGGAGGCATTCTACGATAAGTTAGACAGGACCCTTGACAGTTGCCCTATAAGTGATGTAAACATCATCATAGGAGACTTTAATGCAAAGGTTGGCAAGGAACTAGTCTTCAAACCAACTATTGGAATGCACAGTCTCCATAAATAAGAATTGCCAAATGCTGATAAACTTTGCTGCATCCAAGGACCTGGTTGTCGGCAGCACGCTCTTCCCTGGAAAAAACATCCATAAAGGAACATGGTGCTCTCCTGATGGAAGTACTGTGAACCAAATAGATCACATCCTGGTCAGCAGGAGGCAAAGATCCAATCTTGTAAGTTGCAGATCATACCAAGAGTCACCAACCAAGAGTTAGATTCCTGTGGTTTGATGCGGAGTGTGCAGTTGCTACGAATATAAAAAATAAAGCCTTCAAAAACATGGTTCAGAAGCAGCACACGAGAAGGGCTACAGAGGAGTATAGAGACAGAAGGATGGAGAAGAAGAGACTACACACACGAAAGAAGAGAGAATGGGAAAGGCGACAGCTAGAGGAGATGGAGGAGCAAAGGAGACAGAACAAATCAAGGACATTATACAAGATGGTTAATGAGAGTAGGATATCATTCAAACCAAGGGTCCGATTATGTCGAAACGAAAATGGCTCCATTATCACAGAGAAGGGCAGATTTTGGCCCAATGGTCTCATCACTTTGATGCACTTCTAAATGAGACTGCAGATGGACCGGACGATTTCATAATCCCAAGTGCTGAGCATGACCTGGACTCCCCAGACCCACCGACATGTTAGGATGTTCTTGAAGCAGTTAACAGGCTTAACAACAACATAGCCCCAGGAGAGGATGGAATTCCTTCTGAGCTTCTCAAGCATGGTGGCGAGGAATTCCAGAGAGCCCTCTACAACATCATCCTCACCATCTGGATTGAAGAGAAAATCAGTGGAAAAGGGGAATAATTTATCCACTACTCAAGAAGGGTAATATCCTCGACTGCTCCAATTACCGTGGGATCTCACTTCTTCAAGGTGCATATAAGATCCTTTCAAATATTATCTACTGCAAACTCCTCCCGTTTGCTGAGAGAGAGATTGTTAAGTACCAGGTGGGGTTCAGGGAAGAAAGATCTACAGTTGACCAGATGTTTAGCCTCCGTATGATACTGGAAAAGTCTCAAGAGTACAGGATGATGACCTATTTATTGATTTCCGGAGTGCATACGACAGCATCAAGAGACCTCAACTTTATGCAGCGCTGTGTGACCTTGGAGTTCCCCCAAAACTTGTCATCAAGATGACTATGGATATGTTCGGTGCAATGTTCGGATATGACTAGGTGCAATGTTCGGGTACAATCAGACATGACACCTGAATTTGTTTTCATGCGAGGAATTAGGCAGAGGGATGGGCTTGCCTGGCTATTGATTAATCTGGCTCTGGAGAAGGTGATATGTGACTCGAGGATCCAGACTACTGACACAATCTTTAACAGATTAACGCAAATACTGGGATTTGCTGACGATCTGGATCTGATGGCAGGTTCCTTGGTGCATTTTTAAGGTTGGCTGAAGCGGCAGAAGCTTTGGGAATGATGTAAACCAGGAAAAGATAATGTATATGCGAGCAGGACCTGAAACAGAGACCGCAGTACGAGTACCAGCGGTTATGAGCCCATTTACGTTCCATAATGTAGACCAGTGTACTTAGGGAGCTATTGTAAACTGTGGAAATAGAATATCCCTTGAGGTCAACCAGCAAATAATAAGGGCAAACAGATGCTATTTTGGCCTCAGCAAACACCTTGGAAGCTGTGCCATCTCCCGTCATACAAAATGCCTCATATATTAGACCCGCAATAGGCCACTGGCGAGGACTCATTGAGGCAGCCAAGGACCACACCGGTCTGTAGTGCCATGGAGTTAGTTATATAGGTAAATGAAAGTAAAATATTGAAGAATAATGAAACATGTAACCCAAATACGGGTTTCTCCAATGTCTCAAATAAATCAGATTTTGATCCTGGACTGTAAATGATATATGCTTTGTTATTCATTTTACTTATTATCCTTGGAAAACCCTTAAATTAACAGGCTCATCTAATTTATTCCAATAAATCAAATAATAATAAAGGATCAACTATAAATAATGGATGATACAAATAATATAAAATTGACTTATTTTAATCAAATTCCAATTTAATAAAATCCCATTAACACTGTAATTTATATTCAATCTAAACATCCATTCAAATAATATGGTCAATGGACAACTTATCCAGTGAATCAGGTAGTTATAATAAGTAATATCTTACCCGAATGCACCTCTACTAATAGGCTTAACAATCTCGAATTCATCAATCCCCGGAGCCTATAATAAAAATAAAACAATTGTTAATAGTTGTGATAGGATAGTAATAATTACATGTTACTAGAAATAATTATCAACTAATGTCAATTATAATTAATTATGATAATCCAGGTGATATGTATAAAATTAAACAAAATAGTATACTTCAGATAACCATATCCTGAGATACAACTGGAGATGGGTGATTTGTTCCTGGAATGATTCAAGAGCTAATAGTCTTATTTTAATCATTAATATATAAACAAGAGTAGAAGCATGGTTATACTATAGCCCTGCCTACAGCTGAACATCACATTTTATTGATAATTTAGTGAACACTTCATGGGTGAATACTACAACAGTTTTCAGATCAAAAGAAGCAATATGAAGCAAGTGTCTTACAAATTATACCAGCAAGTAAAAAAAAATAAACTAGAGTAAAAAAAAAAATGAGAAATGGTAATTCAAATAAAACAAAATTGAAGAAGAAATAGCAAACATCTAACAACAATGTTGTCTTTTCTGTCCAGGTTGAAGGGTATAAGGATGAAAGATTTCAATTTCTTCAATAAACAATGCTTTTAGTATTAGTCCAGGCAATGAATGTTTATAGAAGAAAATGGCGGGGATACAATCATTGACTTTGGAAGATTGTTTGGACTAGTAAGGAGGTAAACATACTAAAAGTCCCTAATTCCTAGGTGGTGAGCCAGATGTGAGAGGGGGGGAGGTCCTAGAAGGTCACTTTTTTTGTGTTTTCGCTTGCATAAGAAAAATCTGGTGCATGCAATACACAACTTTCACTTACCGCTCAACTTAGCATAGAAATTATTTTCTGGCCATGGCTATTACAAAATGTTTTAATTACATTTTTGACCGAGCTAAAGCTAAAAGCTTACAGCTAACAAATCATAAATACCATTAAAATAAAAAAGTCCTATTTATTATATCACCAGTTGATTATGGGTTGTGCGATCCGTTGATTATGGACTGTACGACTATTAGTTATTAAACAGTTATTTTCCATTGCAAAGTTTGCTAAAATGGAATTAAGAGATTTACATTGTCTGTCATAGACAGATCAAAATTTGTCACACTAATTGGAAGTGGATACTGTTGGAATATCACAAAGAGAAAATTCATCAAATTATTCACTAATTTAATTTTCTAAAAGGTTACATGATGATTTTTCAGAATAAACGGACGATAGATACCTAACTATTTAAATATAATATCAGATCTAGAGTTATTTGAGAACCCTAACAAAATACAGTGAATATATTTAAGGATATAGACATATCCATGAAATATTTTTATATTTCACTTCTTCTTTCACACAAGGATTTTCATTCTTCTTCTTTTTCCTGCTGCCTTTTTACATGTTTCTGTGGTTCACATCATAGCTTTTCACTTATCCTGAATACCTATTATTTTTTTAGCCTTTTCTATATTTTTAATCAGTTTGGTCCATCATGAGGCTCTCCGAATCCAAGGGTTCTAATTTAATATACAGCCAAAGTTGGAATTTGGTTGTAACTTCAAGATTTTACAAATTATGGACTTTGTATCTCCTTCTTTCCACTTGATCCCCTGTTTTGGGCAATCGTTTCAATTTCTGATATAGTTTAATTCTAATGAGAGATTGATTCGAATCAGTCTGCTCAAAGATAGCTTCTTATATCTTGTATTGAGCTCTGATCTCTCTTGTCAACCAGCACGTAATAGGTGAAGCTTATGAGTGATTTCCTTTTAGTCAGCGATAAGTCAAGGCTAACTATAAATTCTGTGGCAGCTGTTGCATTTTAATCCTTCCTCTTAGAGTAAAATAGTGTATGACTGTCAACAATAATTTCACCACCTGGTCATCTTACTTCCTGAATGGCTGTTAACGATATGTTATACCTATTTAGTTCTTTAACGTTTTTGTGGCTCCTGATCTGTGTAAGCTATGTACACTACAAGATCCAATGTATGGGATGTCTGTGATTCAAAGACGAGGTCGTTGCCATATTTAGACAGTCCGATTTTCTGAAGCTTCTGTTTGATTTTGTAATAAGATATTTTTTATAGGATAGGATTACTAGCCCTATACCCAACCCCCAACCTGGAGGACCAGGAGCTAAGGAGTAAGGTATAAGGGTTGTTCATCTCTCTGTGAATCTGTGTGGGGATGTTACCTTCCCATGCAGGAATTGAAACAGCGCTATAGTGGTCTGAATAATGAGGTAGTAAATTTATTTAAATGTTTATATATTTATTATTACATATTATTTTGTACCATTTTGTTATAAAATCTCCCGAACAAGATTTTAACTCATGACTTTTCGGTTAAAAACAAAAAGGCTGTACACATTAAGTGTATTTTTGCAGGTGTCTTAACTCACTCGACCACCACAGCCCCTCACTTACTACATATATTAAATAATAAATGGGAATCAAACTCAGTACCGGATTCATGAAAAGAATACTGTGTAATACCATATCTGAAACGAGGGAAAGATCGGAAATTAGCTAATTCTTACCGACATATTGCCTTTAGCTCATGTATCCTCAAAACATTTTAAAGAACATTTAATTTCAGACAAGAATGGTGATTAAAATCTAATAAAAAAAAAATTATCCGACTATCAATCTGCTTTTTGTAAATGAGGCTCTACAATACAGTATTTTACCTCTAAATACTGTATCAATATTGCATTTACTAATGGAAGGAAATCAATAGCTTTATTTCTTCATGTAAAGAAAGCACACAATACCGTTCCGATACACATAATTTGCTACCAATATGAATAATATTGGTATACTCCATTAGTTTATAGATTTTATTATCAATTTAATAGATAATAGGAAAATATATTTAAAAGTTATTAACTCAATAATTTCAACTAGTAAACTAGAATAGGACTGCCTCAAGCAGGAATTCTTAGTTGTTTACAATTTCTCATTTTCTCATATGACTTAAGAAAATAACTTCCGGATCAAGTTTCAATCCTACAGTTGGCTGACAACATATGTCTACATACTTCACATAAAATCATAAGTAGAAGTACAGAACTGTTAAATAAAGCAATTAAAGCTTTTATTTTAAGTGGTGGCAACTTGATCATAGCATGGGAATTTCAGCTATAAAATCAGAATTTTGCCCATTCAGAAGGGAACATGTTATTCCATTAGGGGGCAAGTAGTTTTGGAGTGAATAACTTTTCAGTGCTCTATCACTATCAGATTTCTGAGGATGTATTTTGCTAGGAAATTGAATTGGAACAAGTACATTGCAGAAATCATTAAAAAATTTGGAAAAAAAAATGTATTAATACCTCAAGAAAGAACACCAAATGGAGTGTCGACGTAACTATATAGAGAGAAATACTTTATTGAAAGTAGTGCTGCCCTACTACATAGGGTTGCTTTTTACACAGCATACTGATCAATCCATGTGGATATAGCTTTAACATCATATTATTCCATTATTTTATAAACATATTATTATTTTTTTTTATCTTTTGCCACAACACTAGTCATATATCATATCACTAATATACCACATTAAACAACTAACATTATATAATACATATATTTTATGAAAAAAAAGAAAGTATTCGAATGCTAGAAATACAAGACTAAATCGGACACATATATCAACGCAATTTCTTGAATATAAATAAAAAGAAAAGACAAAGCTAAAAATTAAAATTAAATAAATAAGTAGATAAATGACAAAGGACATCCTAACTTCACAGTCAATTGCTATACAAGAGATAGTGGATAATCCCTAGGGAGTCCAGAATAATATTCTCGGCCAATATCGCAAGCTTCCCAACATCAACACCTATTTCCTCAAGGAAGCTCCTTGTTCTTTTTGGCATCGTTCCATGAGACCCAAACTAGGGGCCTCTCATGGTGAACTCTCTCTCTCTGAAGGTCTCACAGAACTTTTTTTTTAGGAAAGGGATACATTTATCATATATGTTTTTCTTTTTCCTTTCCACTTCACCCGCCTGATCGAGGTCATTGCTCTCAAAGCGAACAGTTGGATCCAAGATCAGAGCTGTCTTTCTTGGCCTTGGAAATGCAACACTGTCTGCATACCTGGTTGAGCCTTCACTGTCGATGCAATAGACCTCGTCAAAGCAGGTGAATTCCTTTTCTGGAAGGAGTCTCACCAATTCAAACTTGATTCTATGGTCCCGGCGTATTATGAGGAGGATGTTGTTGGGGCATTTTTCCAGCACATGGACTGGTGTTTCATACTCTCTGCCACACTAAGGATAGAGGGACCCAACTTCCTTCGACTGTCCACTGGCTCCTGGGACTCCACGCAAAGGTGCATAATTGATGTTAAGTTTTAAGGCATTGAACCATTGTGATCCCGAAAGCACTTGCTTTTGGCATATGTATTTACTAGCTTTTGGGGTTTCTTTAAAATGTGGAACTCCAATGCCTTGCCACCTGTAAAGAATTTTCTCTTAGTGACTGTCGTAGAGGTCTCACATTTCAGTGGCCCTGATCCACTCCCAGTCTTTCAGCACATTCAGCGATTTCCACATTATAATCAAATTTGGACTGGAACAGAGCATGCGATACATTTGACAGTCGCTGGGCAATGGACCAATGCTGGAAAGAAGCCTCCCATTGACAGAGCATCAGTCCCAATCCTTGATGCCTCCTCAGTGCATACAACATCGCCGTTGATGTATCAGCAGGGAGTCCGATAATAGCCTTGATACTCCTGTGAATATTTGTATCAATTCCTTCCAATATTGCAGGATGTATCTTTGTAAGGGATCAGAGAACACATATTGGTTGGCAATGTTGTTCTATTGCTCCGGTTAAAGAAGGTAAGAGCTTACCAATTTATCCAAATTATTATTCAATTTAGTCACCATTTTCTCCTTCAGTGCCAGCTCTTCCGAGAACGTACATCCTAAATACTTTAAAGTCTCACCAGGCTTTGCTGAATTGGTGGTTTCTCCATTCTCTAGGAAGAGCTTTGTTTGTTGCAGCTCTCCTTAATCGATTAT